GATGAGATGAGATGAGATGGGATGGGACAGGAAGGGACGGGACGGGACGGGACGGGACGGGACGAGACAGGACAGGACAAGGTAAGACAAGATGATAAGATAGGATAAGATTAGATGAGAAGAGAAGAGGTGAGATAAGGTGAGGTGAGATGAGATAGAATGGAAAGGGATAGAATGGGATGGGATGGGATGGGGTGAGACCGGATAAGACAAGACAAGACAAGACAAGACAAGACAAGACAAGACAAGACAAGACAAGACAAGACAAGACAAGACAAGACAAGACAAGACAAGACAAGACAAGACAAGACAAGACAAGACAAGACAAAAATGGGATGGGATGGGATGGGATGGGATGGGATGGGATGGGATGCGATGGGGTGGGGTGGGGTGGGGTGGGACAGAACAGGACAGAACAGGACAAGATAAGACATAGGGTAAGATGAGATGAGATGAGATTTAAAATAGGATAACCTTTATTGTCATTACTATTTTAATTTCATTAAAAATGAAATTCTGCTGCCTGCTCTCAAAAGAAGTATATATCTACTCATACATATACATAACACAGATATACCCTACACTGTATATGCTATATACATACATATATATACCTACACCCATACGTACCTATATCTCTACACACACACATACACACACACACAACACAAAATAGTTTGTCATGGAAGAGACTGCCTGAAGACCCCTGGATTGAGGCTGAAAGACGAAAGGAAGCAGTATGCTCCTTCCCATATTTGGATAGACCACTCCCTGCACCGCCTTCCTGTCTGAAGCAGTAACTGCTTCCAAACCACACTGTAATGTAATATGACCAGATGCTCTTGATCGTCCCTCTATAAAAAGTGGTAAGGACAGGGGGAGGAAGATTTACTGTTCTCATATGTCACAGAAAATGCAGGTATTGCTGTGCCCACTTCACCAGTGTTTCACTAATGAGCGACCAAGAAGCATTTCTATATAAATATTTAATTATCGCTTATGATTTCTAAAGACCCCATAACTGGAATCCCAAAATACCTGAGGCCACAACCAAAGAAAGACTGTTAGAAACTAGTGTCATGTGTGAAATTTGTCACTGCTGAAAATTTGTCATTTGGGGAATCTTAAAAATATAATGACATCCTTGCAAGAAGTAGCCTACAGTTGAACTATTTTGATATAAATTAGAGCTTGAGAACTTGGGAATTCTGGATTAACAGAGTTCCATACATCATTGCAGGAACTTTGTTGAGACTGTTAATTATCTAAAGAAGAGAGGAATAAAATGCTGAAAAACAAAACATGGGGTGTGATAGAAATATGAAAGTAACTAAAGGACTATAGAAAGACAAGCCAAGATGTTTCTCTATGTATGTGTATGTCTGTGTGGTGTTGATGTGTGTATAAGGCTAGTTATTTTTATGATGACATTCTGTTCCATATCCTGGTCTTATAGATCATGGACCTTAAAATCCCTCAATGCTTACCTTGACTTGTTCTTACTTCATTACCTGCCTTGTCTTCTCCAAGCACAAGACCCTTCACCCCATCATTCCATCCACTTACGAAGACAATGTTTTCAATAACCATAGAAAATGATGCATCAGGTGTTCAGGGGAAAATGGTAGTCTTCTTGAGAAATATTTTCATTAACATTTAAAGAGCATCTAGCAGATTGCATCATAGAAGGTTTATTGACTTCTTCTTTACAGAAGCTTGGAAAACAGTCTCTATGGATATTTGCCTTTAATTTCCCATGAGCATCCATGCAGCGTATCTAGAATATGCTCAAGACTCATGTGTCTTGGATCGAAGTCAAGTGCCAATGCAATATAGGAGGCCCTCTGGAGGCACTCAAACAAGGATGAACTCTGCAACTCTTTTATGGTTGGTCTAATTCCCATTCTTGTTCAACTGCAAAAAGATGAAAGTGTAAAACCTTCTCAGATGCTTTATTGCAGTGGTCACCAACCTTTTTATCGCCGCGGCCCGCTGAGCGCGCGCAGGGGTGGGGGCATGGCCCAGGAGCTTTTGCGCACAGCCCATTGCGCACGGCCCAGGAGCCTTTGCGCTGCAGCGTTCATGTCCCCCGGCCGCTGCGCGGCCCGGTGCCAGGTACTCCACGGCCCGGCACCGGTCCGCGGACCGGGGGTTGGGGACCACTGCTTTATTGTGTACAGAAGGTTGAGATACAATTTCTAGAAGAATTTGTCTCTTGTTTCCCATAGTTATCCATAGATTATGACCCAAATAGGTTATTTGGAATCAGCATGATTCATGCCCAGTTTTATTTGGACCAACTTCCAAGGGCCATTCTCAGAAACTGAGTTTTGTATATACAGTACTAGATGGTAACCTGCCATTGCCCGGGTATTTATAGGTGAAGCCTTTGTCTGACAGGGAGCCATTGAGAGGGGCCTTTCTTCCACCTACTCCCATGCCCATTATCCCTGCCCTCTCCCTTCCTCCTCCCATGTGCTCCTCTTTCCCACCCTGTCTACAATCCTTCAGGCACTTCCCCATTGCTCCACTGGAGGGTGAAAATCACGGCTGCCTTTCCAGAAGAAGCTGCAAAGGAATTGACATCACAAACAATTGCCACTCTAGGACACCACATTCACAGTCCTTAACAGCTGAGGATCTCCCTTCCCCCTCCCATGACATCACAAACAATTGCTGCTTTAGGATGCTGCACTTGCTCTTCTTAATGGCCCAGGCGTTCCACACAGACACAGACACAGACACACCGCAGGGATGTCTCACCCCCACAGTATTTGTTTCCAGATGGTAAGTCATCTGTGTACCAAGTCTGGTTGAAATTGCTCAAGGCATTCCAGAGTTATGCTGGAACATACATACATGCAGCCTTTTTTATATAAATAGATTGTCAAATCTTCTAAGGCTCTTCAAAGACTCAATAAAAGAGGAAAGGAACAAACTGAAGATGACATCCAATAATGACTTTCTTCAACTTTCCATTTCATCCCCCATTCATTTTTCCATGGAATTCAAGGTGAAGATATTTATCATAGTGTTTTAAGATCTGCAGATTTGAAATCCTTTTCAGGTGGGATGGTGTAGTGGCAAGATCATGTAGGGAGTTAGACATTGTACACTCTTGTGAGGTGTTTTTTAGACTTAGCAACTTTAAGATTTGTGGGCTTTAATTAATTCACCTGAAAGCATATCTGCTTGTAATTACGAGGGCACTAAAATTATTACCTTTGCATTGGAATCCCAAAGGGACTTTTTCCAGGGGCAACTGAACTTTCTGATTTTTCTTTGAAGATGTTTCACTTCTCATCCAAGAAGATTCTTCAGCTCTGATTGGATGGTGGGGAATGGAAGGATTTATACACCTTGCAGACAGCTGGTCATTTGCATTCTTTTAGAGAGTCATTGAGGCCATCTGGATGTTTATCTGTGTCATCTGGATCACTGTAGTGGTGCAAATGGGGGTGTAGCCTTCTTGGAGCTATTGAAAGGACTGTGTTATGGATTGGAGATAGATGATGTCATATCCCTCCTCCTCTGTTGAGATAGGACTGTTTAATTTCCATTCCCCACCATCCAGCCAGAGCTGAAGAAACTTCTTGGATAAGAAGTGAAATGTCTTCCAAGAAAAACCAGAAAGTCCAGTTGCCTCTTGAAAAAGCATCTTTGGGACAACCATGACCTGGAGACTGAGAATCTCCATAGACATTTTGCATTGGGATGTTATCATCCAATGATGTGTGTAGTATATAATTTTGTCATTCATTGTCAAGAAACATTCAGTCTTATATCCCAATCCCACCTTCCCTTAATTAATCTGCACTGAAGATGGGGGTGGGGTTGTCTCTTCCACTCAATGAACCAGCATGTTAAAATCTTGGCATTTCATCTTCTATTAGCCTAAAATTAAAGGAAAAAAAATGTTTGACTCCAGACTCAAAGATCACTGATAGATATGAATTGGTTTGAAACCCAACCGATTGAAACTACCTAACTTTATCTTCTACAGCAGTGGTGTCAAACTCGATTTCATTGAGGGCTGCATCAGGATTGTGTTTGACCTCTGGGGACCAGGGTGGGCATGGCCAGGGTGGGTGTGACCAGCTCAACATCACTCATGTTGGGGGCACCTTGTGGTGGCCAAGTGCTCTGCCAGCAAAAACGAGCTCCCAAGCTCCATTTTTGGCTGTGACAGCCTCCTGCAATGCTCTGCCAGGAAAAACAGAGCTCGGAAGGGCCACCCGCAGAAGTTTTCCGGAGGCAATCACAGCTGAAAATGGAGCTCGGTAGCCCACTTTTGCTGCAGAGGCACCATGGGCCGATCTTTCTCTGTTTCCAGGGCAGCCCCTGGAATCTAAGGTTATTACTTAGAGTTTACAGTTTAGATTTTGTTTCATCTTCAGGAAATCCCCTTGAAAATGGATTCAATTCCTGCATTCTAATACGAATAAAGCTAGTAGAATTAATCAACTAATCATAGTTGTTACATTCAGTCAACTTATATATTTCTATTAATAGTACACATTTATATTAAGTTGCAGTCTGTCATTGTCCAATTATTCCTTGTTTTTTCATTATTCCTTTTATTTTATTATATAAAAGTGTATACACTAATATTGCCCCATCTCTTATTTCTATCTCTTATTCAATTTTTAATCATGTCATTCTTTATTAAAAAAACGTTTTCTTTCTATCCTACTTAACATCTAGTCATGTCACCTACCTAAAGAAAGAAAAGAAAGCAAGAGAAAAAGAAAAGTAAATCAGAATAACAAAAAGGAGAAATCATCTATCCATCGTCTCTTGCGCGCTTCAATACTTTAATTGAAATGAGGACCCAGATTGTGGGGGCAATAAGCTGACTTTGTATAAATACAAAAGTATGAAGGTTATTGCTTAATGCATTTTAAGCCACCCTGAGTCTCCGGAAAAGGGTGGCATATAAATGAAAGCCCCCCCCCCCCCCAAAAAAAATTGCTATGCTTTTTTTTTTTTTTTTTGCCTTGCCTCCCATATTCTTCTCTTGGATCTTTATCTCTATCTGCATCGACTTATATAAAAGTGTGTACTCTAATATTCCCCCTTCTCTTATTTCTATCATTTGTTCTAACTTTTAATCAAATCACCCTTTATTAAAAGCTTTATTCGTATTAGAATGTATGACACTCAGGTGCCACACTGTCCATGCATTGATTGATATGTTTCTAAAAAAAATAAAAATATATGTATTTTAAAAATGGAATCAATTCTTGTTCCTTCTAACACAGAGGAGAGCTGGAATCTTTCTTCCTATCATTTTCTGAACAGCCTCTTTCACTTCCTTGTTCCTAATGGTGTAAATGAAAGGATTGAGCACTGGAGTGATCATCGTGTAGACAACGGAGACAACCTTCATTACCCTGAAGGAAGAGTTCTTGACTGTTGGCCTTAGGTAGACAAAAAAGACGGAGCCATACAAAATGAAAACTACAATCAGATGTGAAGCACAGGTAGAAAAAGCTCTCTGCTGTCTGGAGGTTGTAGGCATTTGAAGAATGGTGAAGATGATGAAGAGGTAAGAAATGAGGGTGAAAAACAACGAGGACATTATCACCACCACAGAAACTAGGAAACCGAGGGTTTCAATAACATGTGTATCTCCTCCTGCAATCTTCAACACTGGTCCAGCGTCACAAAAGAAATGATTGATAATGTTGGAGGTGCAGTAGGGTAATTTGGTGATCATCACTACTTGATAAACTATGGAGATAAAACCTCCAAACCAGGCTCCTATTGCCAGTTTGAGGCAGACCCCCGAAGTCATGATGGTGGCATATCTCAAAGGATGGCAAATGGCTACGTATCTGTCCAAGGAGATCAAAGTGATGATGAAAAATTCCGTGACCCCGAAAAGAAAATAGAAGCACAACTGAATCACACAGCAATAAAAACAGATGGCATTACTAGCAGAGAGGTAATTGAGCAACAGCTTGGGTATGAAGGATGTGGTGTGTCCAATGTCTATAAAAGAAAGGTTGCTAAGGAAGAAATACATAGGTTTCTGGAGATGGCGGTCCACGATTACCATCATAATGATGAGCCCGTTGCCCATCAGACTCAGGAGGTAGAGGAGAAAGACATTGGCATACATCATGCTTTCCATTCCCCCAAATGTGGACAATCCAACCAGGAGGAAATATGCCGGTCTTGTACAGTTGCTCAAATCCATCGTCCCCTTTAGCAATCAGAATTCAAATTGAGTCAACCTTTCTCTATATTTCCGTCAATTATTTCTTATTGTCATAAACATGTGCTATGAAAACATCTAAGTTCTCTGACCAGAGTTATGGAGGTTTTCTTCCATTCTTCACAAGCAAGGTGAGATATATGAGATCTTTCCACAAAGAAGAGGGGTCAACTTATTTTCCAGAGCACCAGAGGACAAAGAAACAGTGGATGGAAACTAATCAAGGAGAAAAGCATAATCAGAATCAGAATAGACCTGGAAGGGACCTTGGAGGTCTTCTAGTCCAGAACAAGCAGGAGATCCTATACCATTTTAGACAAGTGACTGTCCAGTCTCTTCTTAGTGATGAGGAACCCACAACATCTGAAGGCACTGGTTGATTCTAACCTGGATTGAAGGAGAAACTTCCTAACAGTGAGGACAATTAACCAATGGAACAGGTTGCCTTCAGAAGTTGTGGGTGAGGTACCAAAAGATTTTGCTTTCCAGTCATATGGAAAATAAAAACAATAGTATTGGATATCTGCAAAACGTGCCCTCAGATGAATTCTGTGTTTAAATTTCTCAGTGGAAATTGCAAGCTCTCCAAAGGAACTTTGTATTCCAATGGATGAATTTTTCAAAGTACTTCAGATTTACTTATTAAAGCAAAAACTATAAAATCCAATACATCTATATATGTGTTTGTACAGTAGTGGCCAAAATAGTGGAAACCTTTTGGGAAAAGTGCAATAACTAGCCAATAACACCACTTTTTTTTTGGAGTAGTACCATAAAACTATATATCAATGGAAAGATAATTTAATCAAGAATGTAATGCAATAACTTTTATGAAGGATTTGCGAGTAGAATAGCAGTTACAGTATAAAGAAGAAGAGTGAAACACGTAGAAAAAACGAGATATACAAAAATGATCACCATAGAAAAAATGAGATATACAAAAATGATCCCATCAGTTAATACTTAGTTAGCATGAATTACGGCCTTACAATGTCTTCCCACGGAGCAAACCAAGTTGTTTAGTTCTGCGGCTGCTATAATGTGAAACCAAGATTGAATGGATGCTTCTATTATTTATTTATTTTTAATTTGATTTATATGCCGTCCTTCTCCGGAGACTCAGGGCGGCTTACAATGCGTTAAGCAATAGCCTCCATACTTTTGTATATTTATACAAAGTCACCTTATTGCCCCCACAAACTGGGTCCTCAATTTACCTACCTTAGAAAGGATGGAAGGTTGAGTCAACCTTGAGCTGGGGAGATTCGAACTTGCAGTAATTGCAGGCAGCTGAATGTTAATAACAGGCTATTAGTCTGCTGCACCACCAGGCTCTTCCCTATTCCCCCTTCTCTATTAACTGGGCTTATTGCTGGGTCACTTCTGACTAACAAGTTTCTTTAGTCAGCTCCATAGATTTTCAATTGGGTTAAGGTCTGGGCTATTCCCAGGCCATTCCAGCAGTGGAATAGGATTATCTTGAAACTGTTTAAAAAAAGTGATTGCTTATTTGTACCCTATGACTATGATTAAGTGTTGTACCTTATGATTCTTGAATCTTTTCTTTTTATGTATACTGAGAGCATATGCACCAAAGACAAATTCCTTGTGTGTCCAATCACATTTGGCCAATAAAAAATTCTATCTATCTATCTATCTATCTATCTATCTATCTATCTATCTATCTATCTATCTACCCACCTACCCACCTACCTACCTACCTACCTAGAGTACCTACCTACCTACTACCTATTTCTATTTCTATTCTATTTCTATTCTATTCTAATCACCCCAATCCTTTTTTTCTCTAGACTAGCCATACCCAAGCATAAGGTATGCAACGTGTCTTGAGTTTTTCATCAATTGTTCCTTACTCTTTCATCTTTTCTTCATGGATTCTTCTACTCAATATCAAAGCAGTCACTGATGTGCCCACAGCCAGCAACACAATCTGCCTTTATGAAAATCCTATTTACTTATTTAAAATATTGTCCTTAACATTGAAAGCAGTTCTGAAAGATTGCATCATAGAAAAATTGCTCATTTCCTGCAGTCATTTGGGACATAGTCTCTTGAGGGCACATGTCTCTCTAATTTCTCCTGAGTATCTCGCCTTTGTGCCTAAAATTTATGGTTTGAATAGAATAACACAAGACTCTTCTTTTTTGGCTCAACTGTTAACCTCCTTTCCAAGGTATGGATCCTTCTATTATTAACCACATAAAATATTTTCAGGGAAGGGATTCATTAGAGGCAGTGTTTTATCATTTTCTTAGGATTTTCCCCTTCCCCTTCTTCCACCTTCTCAAAGGGATTAAACTGAAGAAATTAAACAACAGTCGAGATTTTATTCAGGCAATTTTGGGGGTGGGGCGAGGAATCAGAGGTTTTACCAGTGATGAAATCTGAACCAGTTTACTACCCGATTGTTAGCTGCGAATAAGCAGTGCGCACTACACACCAAATGTGTGTAGCATGCGGTAGGAATGTGGTAAGTAGAACAGTGCATGGGGGGGGGTGATCAGCTGTGGCGCACAATCTTTTTTTAACTTTTAAAACATTGCTTTTAAAAGTAAAAAAAAAAGCCTCTGAAGATAGTGCTGCTCAGCTGGGATCGTCAGAGGTTTCTTTTTACCTTTCAAAAGCATTTTTTCTACAACCTCTTCGCCTGAAGAGGTTGTAAAAAAATGTTTTAAAAGGCTCTAACAATTCCAGCTGAGTTGCCTGATCGTCAGAGGCTTTTTTTTCTTTTAAAAGCATTTTTTCTACAACCTCTACAGCATTTTAAAATGCTTTTAAAAGGCTCTGCTGATCAGGCAACGCAGCTGGGATCATCAGAGCCTTTTAAAGGTGTATTTTTTATAACCTCTTCAGCCGAAGAAGTTGTAGAAAAAAACACTTTTAAAAGTTAAAAAAAAAAGCCTCAAATGATCGTGTGGCTCAGTTGGGCATGGGCAGGGGGGGGGCAGGGATTTTTGCTACCAGTTCTCCGAACTACCCACTGCCATCGCTACCGGATCGGGAGATTCGGTCTGAACTGGGAGCGTTTTACCCCTGGATTTTACATTTTAGCGAACCCATTTTTCAACAATTATCCCTCTTCTCCCTTACTGAGACTTGTAATTATTTACATTTCATACTTTTAAAAACCCCGCCCCATCTCCCTCAGAGAGGTACATTAATTGATTAAATTGTATTTAATCAATAAAATTAAGCATTAAAAAGAGAAATAGTTTAAGATTAAAATTTTTAAAAATGTAAAACAGCATTATAAAATTGCAAAAGATGGAGACTTCCAAGGTGGAGAGGTAACAAAACAGTTGTTAATACAGGTGGGATGGGGGTTCTGATGGGGCCAAGCAGCCCCATGGTTCTCATGGGGTCCATCTGTCCCCCACACACAGCTATATACCATTTTTCCCATAGTACATTAAATAGCCAGACAAAGGGGGGTAATGCCCTTTTAATTATCCCTTGGTTAAAGTCACAGACTCAACAATAAGCCTTTTATGATGCTTAAGTATGGCTTCAGGTAAGTATAATTGGGTTCAAGCTATAGTGTAAGGTTTCAAACTCAATTTCATTGAGGGCTGCATCAAGGCTGTGGTTGACCTTGAGGGGGGTGCCTGGATGTACACACATCTATCTATCTATCTATCTATCTATCTATCTATCTATCTATCTATCTATCACTATCCATTTTGAATACATAGTGGAAAGAGGAAACTTAAGAGTTTACAAAGTTGATGCTATATGGAAGAAAACTGTGAATGAATCTGGATATACTGCTTTGGGTGCCATGAAGTCTCCTCCCAGACAATAACAAGGAAAACAGGTCATGAAGAGGATGTGTAGCAACCCAGACAATCATCCTTATGATTTCTTTTTTTTAATTTTTTTTATTTTTGAACATAACAAAACATAAAACAACCATCATCCATTACAATCACAGAAAGTGTGTCGATCAGTTACAATTCTTTTGTGCTTAATCTCATATCCAAAATTTTCAAGTTATTTAATTTCTCTTATTTGACAATTTTTTATATCCCTTTATGCTATTATTCTCATTTGACAATTATTTAACAATGGCTTGTCTCCCATAAAAAATCACTTCATATATTTTATCATTACATTTATTTCATATTTCATACTTCCTTTCCATGCTTTATTATCTAGCCATTGATAAAATAAATCCTATATCATATAATATTGTTTGTCTTCCTGTTCTCTAATTTTAAATGTCAGTTTACTCATTTCAGCACATTCCATAATTTTTTTAATAACTTCATCTTCAGTAGGTATTTTCTCCTTTTTCCAATTTTTAGCAAATACAATTCTAGCCGCTGTTAAAACATTCACAATTAAATATCTCAATTCTCTGTTATATGTTTCTGGTAGAATCCCTAATAAAAATATCTCAGGTTTAAAGTCAATGTGTTTCTTTGTCATTTTTTCCAACCAAGTGTGGATTTTAGTCCAATATCTTTTAGCTTCTACACATGTCCACCACATATGGTAATATGATCCTGGAGTCTGATGACATTTCCAACATTTCTCCAATTTGTTCTTGAACATTCTGGCTATTCTTGTTGGGGGTAGATGCCACCTGTAAAACATCTGATACAGATTCTCCTTACATGCTGTTGACATTGTCATTTTATAATTTTGCAACAACAATTTTTGCCATTTCTCTAAATCAATCCCATGACCAAAATTTTCCCCCCATGCAATCATTGTTTTTTACCTCTAAAAAATAACCATACAATTTTTCAATTACACAGTCATCAGAACCCATTAAAATTTTATCTAAATTAGTCAGGACATTATAGAAACCTTCTTGCTTAGAATCTTCTTCATATCTAGAACGTATTTGCAAATAAGAAAACCAATCCATCTTAAAACCTTGTACTTCCAGTTCTTGCTTCGATTTAAATTACTCGATATATCTCATCTACCCCATCCATCATCTTCTCCTTGGTAAT